GTCGTTCTGTAAATTCTCGGAAATATCATTTGGTTTTTCTTTTTTAAGTTTTTCAATCTCCTTTGCAACTTTCTTTGCTGTTTCCTTTACCTGAAATAAAACATCATCATAATAGAAAAATATTAAAGATCATCGAGTTCACATTTTTCTTTTAGCTATGACCATTRATGTATCAAATATGAAGAGAGTTCGATGAGAATTTTGCTTCAAAAGTTGTAAGAATTTAAAGAGACGCGTCACGGTATTGCTCATTTCACGCAGAATGAGTGAACCAGGGCATTGGAATTTCTTTGAGGCAATTGAGGAAAAGATCCTTAAAATGTCTTGATGGACTGTAGTTTAACACTGTCCTTTACATTTTGATCTGCTGTATGTAATATATACAATATGAGCGGGCGATCTGTATGAGGATTTAAAACAGCGAGCTGAAAGCGAGCTGTTTTAAACCTCATACAGATCGCACGCGAATATTGTATATTACTTATGAAACGTTAAGGTAAATTAGCTCAGCTTTTAAAGAAACTTTTGAAAAAAAATTCAATCTGACTGAGAAAATCAGAGTAAAAGTTTATGCAAATGAACAAGAAATCTGTATGTAATATACAACTCTCTTCATGGGCTATGATTTCTATTGTGTTTTGCCTTATGAATATTAATGAGTTTTATATGACAAAGTATATGACAAGTCTACTTACATTTTTCCCCATCAATTCCATCCAGTTTGGTCTTCCTTCCTTAGTCTCTGGACCATCTTCWGAGCTACCTATAGCAGACAACTCCGTACTATCTTCTGAACTGTCATCATCTCCATCATCATCATCATCAAAACCTACATCAACAATTGAAGAGTAAGAATAAATGATTTTTACTAAAACTGTTTTACCTCAATCTTGTTCGATGCCGTTGACCCATGTTCCTTCAACGAAAACATTACCAGCCGAATTGGATAAATTTGGATCAAATGTTCTGAATACATTTTTTGAGCTTACGTAATAGCATAAATAAAGCAAAATGAGCTTACTTATAAAGTTTCCACGTGTTAGCGTTACATTCTTCTTGGCCTCTTGTTCCTGAAATACAAAGGTCAATGAGTTGTTGAAATATGATTGCAACAGAGGACATAAATGATTAAAAGTATATCAATATGGCAATGACAGAAAGGTCGAGAATATCAAAAAAATATAGAACTTATCAAAAGAAATTAGAACATGAATGAGYTAAAAAGATCAGCTCTAAAACGACTTTTTATCAAAAAGAATAGAAGATAGAAAAGAAATTAGATAACAAAAAGGAGAGAAGGAAACATTATCTGGAAACGAGCGAGAAAAGAGAGAGATGTGAAATTAAAAGACCGGCAAAAACGCGATGTAGATTTTTGATACTTTGATTGTTATTTTCATATGTGTTTTAATGTACGAGACTGACTTTACCTTTTTGGTTTTATTCTTGTGTTTCTTGGCTGTTACAATGCAAACTAGCAGTACAAACAAGGCCACAGCTAATAMCAGTCTTGAGAACTTCATTACTCCTCAAAGATTACCCTATTTTGCAAAAGTAAACAATAATAAACTTAAAAGTTTTCTTTATCTTAAAGTTTTGCTTTCTCTGACTTAGTTTTTCTTCTTTGGCAGTATATTCATATATTTTTTGTACAACATGTAACAAAATACTTTTAATTTTATGTTATTTTCATTGATATTGAAAAGCTATAATGCCTAAATTTTGGCTTTCTAGGATAATAATAAGAGCGACCAGATTAAAATGTAATTCTAAAAAAGTGTTTGTTTATTGCTTGAAAGAGACAAGAAATCTAAATTAAAACAAAAACAAAAATACCATACGTTTTATCAGTAAATAAAAGATTTTTTTTCTATCTTTTTTTACCTTTTTGTCTGTTCTTCTGCTTCTCTTGCCGACCAGTCGACAAATGCAATAGGCTCTACTTCACTTTGGACATCTATCATTTCCCGATTACTTCATAACTGGTCATGTTCGCACGTTTGTATTGCGCAAAATCTGGCCACCAAATTTTAAGCAAATATTGCACTGGTACTATTTCAATAGAAAGGTACTGGCACTTGTCAACTGTGTGTTCATGACCAACCATTGTGAAGGATGTAAAAAATCAGAGCATTAAAGATTAATTGCGATCAACTCAGTGTTGGAAGTCCTCGTATCGAGAAACAAACTTTTTCAACGATTTTGATTATAATATCGATATAGCGAACATTTATTTAAATGATGCCAGCAAATAATCCTTCCATTTAACGCAACTTTGCTTTTTATTGACACAAGAGCAGCTTGCATTGGAAAGTATGTAATTACTTCATAAGTAATTGTTCTTAGACCGCATAAATAAAAACATTTTAGTAATATTTCTGAGAAGTTAGATATACAGAGTAACGGATTTAGGACCAGGGAGCCCTGTTTGATTATGTTAGCCAATTGAAAACAAGGTGTACCATCTGCAGGGGTGTAACTGTTGTTCTTTTTTTGCACGTTTGTATTGTACAAAATCTGGCCACCAAATTTTAAGCAAACATTGCACTGGTAATATTTCGTGGAAAAGGTACTGCCACTTGTCAACTGTGTGTTCATGACCAACCATTGTAAAGGATGTAAAGAATCATGGAATTAAAGATTAATTGCGATCAATTCAGTGTTGGAAGTCCTCGTTTCAAAAACAAACTTTTCAACGATTTTGATTTTAATACCGATATAGTGAAACGTTTAATCTTAATGATGCCAACAGCTAATCCTTCTATTCAATCCTACTTTGCTTTTTTATTGACACAAGAGTAGCTTGCATTGGAATATCTAGCTAGTAGCTGTTTTTAGACCGCATTTTCAACAGTACCTCCAACTAAAGCTAAAAAAACATGGTACAGCAATTGCGTGAAGTTTTAAATATTGAGTTTGAGTCTTCCATGATTTATAGAAGCATTTAGTAATATTTCTGAGAAGTTAGATATACAAAGTCACAGATTTATGACCAGGGAGTCCTGTTGATGAAGTTAGCCAATTGAAAACGAAGTCAACAGGGGTGGGTTTTTTGCACGTTTGTATTGTATGAAATCTGGCCACCAAAGTTTAAGCAAACATTGYACTGGTACTATTTCGATGAAAAGGTAGTACTGTCACTTGTCAACTATGTGTTAGTGACCAACCGGTTGTGAAGGATAGGAATTCAGCGCCTATTAAAGATTTATTGCGAACAATTCAGTGTGTGGAGTACTTGTATTAAAAAAACAAGAATACATTTTTATCCAWTTTGATTTGAATATCAATGATAACGAAACGTTTTGTTCATGATATTAGCTATAAATCCTTCCCTTCGATGTAATTTTGCATTTTTTTTGAAACAAGAGAAACTTGTAAAGAATTAATGCAATTCCGAAAAAACATCTTGGAAACTAAATATTCAGAGTAGATTGCTCAATAATGTTTTAAATTACTTCATAACTAGATAGTTGCTTTCTCATCGCGTTTGAATATAAAGTTTAAGTCTTCGTTTATTTATCTAATCAAATAATAGAAAAATATACAGGGTCACGCACGAAATTAAGGCCAGGAAACGATGTTACTTCTAACGTGAGTTAGTGCATCATCAGGTGGGGTATGGGAAGGTGTAAAAAAGGCTCGGATGGGGCAYTGGAGGGCATTGGAGAGTGCTGAAAAATCCATTGATGAACTTTTCAAATTCGGGAGCACAACATTTCATGATTTTTTTACAAGAAAAGGTGAAACCTTTTATATTCGAGAGAGCTGCTCTTTCWTTATTCCCTTATTCTGAAATTCGTGAATGTTTAATGAGAACGCCTGGCAACCGGCTTTGAAAAGTRTTGAAAGCAAATGTAAATTCACAGCAAGTTGAACATTAAAAACTGGGAATGGGATTGAAAAATTGGTACTCTGCGAACAGAGCTACTTTTCTCACAAAATTGGACAAAACTGACGAGATTATGTGATTTCTCTTTCAAAATTCCTAAACAAATAAAAACCAAACCGCTTATACATAAATTGCACAATCTTATTGCATAAATATCAGCTTTATTCCTACAATTGCACGATGTAAACTATAACAGTTATCTATGAAGACTAACAACTCTTGCAGTTGAATCTTGTTGCTTTAGATCTAACTTATGGGATTTCTCAGTTCCACTTTAATCCACTGTAGTTGCTCTACGTTTGTTATTCGTGGAGCTACACCTAAAATGCCAAGGACATAAAATTAATGATAAGGCTAAGTGAGAGTGAAATAAATTTTACACTGTACGAACATTGTTCGATCAACCTTTGGACAAGCCGCACATTTCAGAAAAAAATTCACAGAGTATTTTTTTTTATGTTTATAGCTGCCCATGAACACGCGTTATTCTCAAGACAATGTACCAAAAGGTCGAAATCAAGAAGTGGATTAGTATAACCTGACCTTCCTTAATTCCCAGTGTTGAATCCCGTCACTGGGAAGCACTTTCCCACCACTAATAGTGAGCCGTTTTGTCCCCTCTCCAATGGGTCTAGGTGCATTAATGGTACGCGGTTCAACCCTCAGCTCTCGATCACAAAATGAAGAATCGTCGGRACTACTATCACCACAGCCCCGCTTGTTGAGAATCCTGAGATGAAAAAAGAGATAMTTTAATTTATATCGCATAGAAAAAAATGAGGGGAGGGACGGTGAAGAGCGCTATTTATTTCGTTGACGAGGGGGGTAGTAATGAACTTTTTTTGGTTTTTGGCTCATATCTCAACCTCCCCTCCTGAAAAAGATTGCGCAGTCCCTTCATTCTTTTCACTGCTGTGATTAAAATGGTAATTACCACTCTGGTCCTATGACTTCGTTGCTGAGATAATTAAGCTTAAATTTCAAAAATTAATTAATTGATTAATTAATTTAATTTCTATATATGATATCAAAGAGGCAAGATTTTGCTGTAACTCGGAGTTACAGCAAAATCTTGCCTCTTTGATATCATATATATAACTAGCTCTACACTTTATGTGTATTGAGCACTCTTTAATGGGATCAGCTACTTCCTCATACGATTATAATTTAATTTCTAAAATTAAAAAAAGGCCGTTGAAGTTTTTATATGTTTTGTACAAAAAAAAAATCTTAGCTTATATGTTGTATTTCACGGTACTCTCAGTTATTCAGTTGTTTAACGATATCTCCTTGTTGATTTTCCGTGTTTTTTTATATTCACATAATCTACTCCTACAAGAGTAGTTATATTCACATAATCTACTCCTATAAGAGTAGTAGTGATATACCTGTACTTAGAAGAATCGGATCCCTGAATCTCCCACATGACCCCATCAGTAGGTTCAATGTTAGCAATTCCAAGTTCCGATGTATCACCGATGATATCAAAAGACAATATCGACCCACACCACGCCGCTGATGGGTTTTCATCACATCCCTTTTTGTTGACAATACTGAACAGATCACTTCCGTGAGGCACCAGCTTCCAGTAACAATTCTTGTTATTCTCGGCAGCAAGTTTAGTATATGGCTTTCCGTTTACTTTGAAGTATACTTGTTCTGTGGACCAAACYAGATCTCTTTTAGTATTACCTTGAGTCCCTTGAGTCATCAGACAGTACATTCCTGCTTTCGATCGATCGTACTTTCCAAGGTCCAACACCGAGTTGGCGTACGAGTCAGTGATGACACTGATGTCTGGATCAAAGTACGGCAAGATCTTTTGTCCAAAATTTGTCGTAAASAGTGGCTGAAGTAGGATTCTTGCAGCATCGCGRAAATCTCGCTGGTAGGACATCAAACCATTGACRTCGTTCTTCATCTCGTTACCTGCCAATGATATCATTTGAGTAAGAATCATGTCCTTGAGTCCAGCGAGTTGTGCAAAGAGTTCGCAGTATTTAATGCATTTCAGAGCATCGTCAGCACTAGAAGCTTTAAACATCTTTTCAATAACTGTGGACAGTTCGCCAATGAACTCAGAACCCTGCGTCATAGGCACACGTGATGAAGCTACGATCATTTCTTCTTTTGAGAGAAGTTCTCCAGATTCAGCGGCTCCATCTAGGTAAGATTTGGASGCTCTGAACGCTTTGATAAGTCCAATTGCTTTGTCAGTCAGGCTCTCATCTTGGAACTTTGCTAACGCGTCGTCAATTTGTTCTCTTACAACTTCACCTAGTGGCTTTGGATTTGGACCTTTATCAAATAATCCTAACAGGCTAGAAACGAAGCCCAAACCAATACTTGCTAACTGACCATGTGGACCAAAAAAGGTAGCTACTGCACCTATGATGTTTATGGCTCCTTGGATTGCCTCGATTGGATTGTTTCCTGCATTGCCAAATTTCTCAATGTTTGCCGCTACAACACCGAGGGTACCCATGATGCTTTCTCTGTCAGTG